CTTGCCTGCAGGCTCCCTCCGCCCGCTGCTGCCTCTGGGTCCGACCCGGCCCAGAAGGACTCGGGCTCCTGCTCCTAGCGCTTGGCGTCGTCCGCTTCTAAGCTCCCCACGACCTGCTGCCACTCGTGCTCCTGGGAAGCCTCATCGTCTTCCTCTTCAGCAGAGTCCCAAGGGAGTCCACAGCCCAGGGCCCCGCCCCATCTTTGTTCTTTATTCCCGTGGGGGAGGGACAGCGACTCCGCAGGGCCCTGGGCGTGCAGCGCGGTGTCCCCATGGCCATCCGGGTGGGCAGGGGCTTCCCCGAGACGAAGCAGCAGGCACAAGGCAGGGGCTTCTTGGCGGTCACAGGCACGGTGCAGTGGCGGGGGCTGCCCAGCACCCACACCAGGGCCGGCGTGTCGCGGAGGAGGGCCTGGACCTGGACCAGGCGTCCAGAAGACAAATAAGGGCGGAAGCGATGCTCTTGGTGCTGGCGGCCGGAAGTGGAGGCCATGGAACTCTTGGGGCGACACAGATGTAGAGGCTTCTCCCTCGGACCTGGGGAGGCTTCTGCGTCACACCCGCGCCCCAAGCCTCAAAATATTTTCTGATCCATAGTTGGTTGAACCTGTAGATGTGGAACCCACAGAGGACCAACCGTATCAGGGTTAATCAGAATACGGGATTGAAGTGATTTCCTGTTTCTTTTTAGCGTGACTACTAGAAAATCTGAAATTATACATAGGTTTGAATCTTGTTCCTGCAGTACTTCCACGATGGCCCTTTTCTCACAAGGCCAAGGAGAGGTTGTGTGTATTTTGTGGGCAAGTGCACACGTGTGCGTGCATGTGCAGGGAAGGGGTCACTGGACACTTCCGCACGGAAGGACAACCTGGACGTGTAGGTTGAGTCGGAGGCCTTGTGTGGGGTCCGTCCTACGTATTCGTCTTTGTCGCCAGGCTTCTGTGTGTTGTTGAAGTAGTCAGCCAGAGTCAGGTGTGTGGCCAGAGGGCAGCAGTACTGACTGGTGGCAGCACAGACCTTCTGGGGCCACCCAGGCTGTCCACCCTTCCTGGCCACCAGCCTTGAGGGGTAGCTGTGTGCTTTGTTTGAAGAAATGGCGGCCCCCACCAGGGCAGTCTGTGTGTGTGGGAAGGGTCTGGGGTTGCTGTGCTCCTGCCATCCATTGTGGTACAGACCTGACGCCGCCTCACCCTCCCTGCAGCATGGCCTGGAGAAGACTGTCCGGTTCTCCTCCAGGCTCCATGATTCTCAACCTCTCCTTGTCCCCGTCTGTTTCTGTCCTGACGCTAATGCCTGCTGGCCCGTGTCCCACCACAGGAGAAGAAAGTCCACCCTCCAGGGCCAACCAGAAGGGATAAGAGAAGCAGGGCACATGGGGGTTTATTTTATTTTTTGCTTTTGTTTAGACAGGATCTTGCTATGTAACCCAGGCTAACCTTGAAACTCCTGGGTTTAAGGGACACTCCTGCCTCAGTCTCTTGAGTAGCTAGGACTATAAGGATATGCCACCACACCTGGCTGTACTAGTGTTCCTTACAAATTCTCACTCCACACCAGCTCTGCCTCACCAGCCAGGCAAGTTTACAGGGGATGGTGAATTGAGGCTTGCAAAGGCCCCTCCAAAGGTAAATAGCACAATGGTTCCTGGCCTGGCATAGTCCCTGGCTTCTTGGACTCCCCAAATCATGACAGGTAGCTGACAGGTTTTTTTTTTGGGGGGGTTGTTCCTTCATGGGACCCCAAAATGCCAAGGGATCAGGTTTCGGGTGAAGATCAAACTCAGGACCTTATGCTTGCAAGGCAGGTGCGGTGCCACCGAGCTACATCCCCAGCCAAGAGCACTCATTTTTGAAGAGAGTAAGAAGGCATTCTTGGAACTGGGCCTGGGAACCTCAGTAACCATGACGCTGCTACCCCATTAGACCCTTAGACCCGCCACAAGGGAGCGGGGCTTGACAAAGCCAGTTTTGCTATTGAGGTACAGTTTGAGCTTCCCCGTGAAGTCACTGCAGACCATTCTTCTTGGGCCTAGAATCACACGCTTGACTTGTTTGATTTTCATTAATACATTTTATCCACTTCCCCACCTTCCAGCCCCCTCCTTGGCCTCCTTGTCCATGCATAACATGAGGAGACCTGAAGTGACTGCTGCAGCTGGCCGTGGAAGCGTGTGATTCCTGAAAGGTCCCCAGTCATTCAGAACTAGATGAATAGGTCCGCTTTTGTCATTAGACTTTCTTTTTTCAAGTGCCGAGGATAATACCCAGCACCTCACACATGCAAGACAAGCACTCACTCTGCCACTGAGCTACGTCCCCAGTCTTAAATTGTTTTCTTTCTTTTTGGGGAGGTATGGTACCAGGGGTCACACTCAGGACCTTGTGCTTGTGAAGCATTCAGCGGCACCAGAACTAAATCTCTGGCCCTTTAGCTTGTTTTCTTAATATCTTCTGTGGCTCACAGTTATGTTGGTTTACTTTGGGTTTATCAGCTCTGGCGATTTTTTGTTTTGTTTTGAAGCACCGGGGATTGATTGAACCCCTGGCCTTCACGCTGAGCTACATCTTCAGCCCTTATTTTTTGGGAGAGGGTCTCACTAAGTTGCTAGGCTGGGCTAGAACTTGCAATCCTCGTGTCTGAGCTTCCTAGAGTGCTAGGATTATAAGCATGTACACCACACCTAGCAGCCCTGTCTGTCTGAAACTGAGACACTATTTTTTCTTTTCTACTACCCCATCACCCTTCTTCAGTTTTCAGAGGGATCTAGTCAGTGTCCCGAGCAGGAGGAAAAAACTCCCACGTATGTGGCAGACTGAAGCAAAGCTGGCTTTGGAGTCAAGCCCCCCGCTTGTAAGATCTGCCCCTGCCACTTGCTCGGGGGTGGGGAGGCAGACATGACTCACACCCCAGCCTTATTTCTGCCTCCATCAGGAAAGAACCCTCACTGTGGACAGGTGGGTACCAGGACTGGGTCCCTGCTGTGCACAGCGGGTGTGCTCACAAACCTGGCCCGGCCTGCAGAGGAACTGTGGCCTCTAAGGAGGACATTAGCATATTGGAGATGCAGCATGGCGGCAGAGCACGTCCACCCATCAGAGATGGGATCCAAACCCACTGGTCATTGTTGGGAACCAGAATTGTGGCTGTTTTTACCAAAGGAAGTGTGTGTTGCCTGTTCTCTGATTCGTAGTATTCAGGAGCCACTGGTAGACCAAGTGGGCCCAGTGTCACCCCACCACATGCTCCTGTCCACCCCGTTCCTCAACCATTACCATGTCTTTACTGAATCTATCATATATAACACTTGAATGTGAAGCCCAGGTGGGTGAGGCAAGGGATTTTTCCCCCCTAATTGGGGATTGAACATGGTCTTTGTACGGAGCTGTATCCCACACAGTCTCACCAAACTGGCCTTGAACTTGTGATCCTCCTGCCTTGGCCTCCCCAAGCGGTGGAATTGTGGATATGTCACCACGCTTGGTGAGGCAGTGGAAAATTGAAGGTGGGGATGAGCTGCTAGCATTCTGAACACTGCATACCAACCAGCAGCAAAAATCCCTGAAATTATTCTCCCAGAAATCCTGCCGAAGGTCATCCTCTCCCTGCGAGAATCTGGGGAAGTTTCCTGGTAGGGAATGGAGAGCACAGAAAGTATGTGAGAAGAACCTCTGGAGGGGCCAGGGTTGCCAGTGTCTCACACACACGTGCCCCTGCTCACTTGCTGGATGTGACAAGTGGTGAAATGGAAATGACCGCTCTCAGACATATTTTGGCAACTTTGCTTCAAGAACTTACAATCCCTTTTGTAGGCTATTTGACTAAAATTGATTAAGCCAGGGAAGACTGGTGTGAAAGGGCCAAACCCAAGGCTAGAGTTGTCCCAGAAGCAGCAGCAGGCAAATTTCTGGCCCCAAACCATCCTGGGATGAGGCCAGTTGAGATTTCAAAATATTTTTTTAGGGAACTCACAGAGGGGGCTGTAATATGACCTAGAGAGACTAAAGAAAGAGGTTACCTAGGCATGTCCCAGGGAAGGGGTCAGCATGTATTTATATAACGTTCAAGGAATGTGGTTGGTCAAAGAACTTGGCTTTGGCTAGGGCTAGTTTCCAAATGTATAGCAACATATTTAATATTTCATATTAAACTTTTTTTTTTTTTTTTTTTTTTTTTTTT